TATTTACATAAACTGCTGAAAGACAGTGAGCTGCTGTGGTCATAGCTGCAGACAGTATGCCAAGAAGACCTATGTGATTCTTAACTGAGGTGATTACTGTCTAAAATATTGGAATTCACATAGGAAGTCAGCTCTTGGATAAAGAGGAGCTGGCTCAAGCTGAAGCTAGACAAAATCAAGTTGGGGGAAAGGAGAATTTTTTTAAGAACGGACCAAGCTGTTGTCTTCAGGCATATAGTTCCCATTCAGCACAGTGGTGTGAAGCCTCAAGGTTCTGCTTGACTGTGCACTAAGCTTGGATAATTATGTAGGGTCAGTTTCCAAAAATACCTGCTTTCATGCCCAGCATACAAGGAAAATTCATCTTTTCATATTGGATGAGGAGCTGGCCACAATAAATTGGGTAGTTGTCACCTCCAGTTGCAGCATTATTGTAACTCAGCGCATCTGAAACTGAATACAAAGAGCAAACACAAGCTCTAGTTAGGACAGAAAGCAACTCCAGGACAGGGGTGTCAAACTCATCTGGCCCCTGCTGCTTTGGAATCCACGCTACAGATGGTGCTTGCTCCAGCTGGTCTGGGATGTGGGCTGCATATGGTGCCTGAACCAGTTGGCTGGGGATCCATTCTGCATGTGGCACCACCCACAACTGCTCTTCCGCAGATACCATGTTCAGCGCGTGTCCCAGACTGGCCAGAGCAGGTGCCACATGTGGCACTTGTCCCAGATGGGTGGGGAGGGTGTAGCACCACATGCAATGTGTGTCCTGGGCCACATGCTGCATGTGAGTCCACTCCAGACCTAGGGGCAGCACCAGGGGCCAGAAAGGGGGGTTTGTAGGCTGTATTCAGCCTGTGAGCAATATCTTTGACACCACTGGCTTAGACCATTTTTAGCACATTGGGCATTTTGCTCAGAGTTTCTCCACTGGCTCCCAGTCAGATACTCTTGCCAATTTATGGCATGGGTCCTTATTTTTAAAGCAATTAATGGAATATGTCCTAGCTTTATTAAGGACTGAATTTTGATCTATGAACTACTATGACAGCTTTACTTTTCTGAGACAATGTAGATCACAAAGCCCAGGATTCAAGCATGGGACAAATCATTCTCTTTTTTCTTGGCTTTCCTGAGGGTGCAGGAGCCATAATGCGGACTTATGCTCTTCCATAGGGTGGAGCAGCCCCAGGCTGGCAGGCTGACCCCCTCAATGTGCTGCTGGCTAAACATGCTGTGGTTCCAGGCAAATGTCTAAACGCTGTACACGGGAAGCAGTAAACTCTGACATGAACTGTGCTGGAGTTTATTGCATCTCACTAATATCATGTGTAGATGTACCCAAAAACAACCAGCTCCAGTCATGAGTGGAGGGCTAATTAAAACACGGATCCTTTTGGGGGTTGAGGGAGGTATCTGGAGAACATACACATACCAAGCAGTGCTGGGCTGTGGGATCACCATGGCTTGAAACCCTGTTGAATCTGCTGGGGCCCAGCCCAATGAATTATATGGTAAATCATGAGCCTTTTGGCTTTGGATTAATATGCATATACTACACACACACACACATGTGTGTGTGTGTGTGTGTGTGTGTGTGTGTACAAAAGTGCTGCTTAGAAGTGTGTTTATGGAGTACCTGTGCTAAAACTTGAAGCAGTTTAAAAAAAGGTAAAAATGAATCAATTCTGGATTAACTAAATTACTAGAAACATGTTTATTGTAAAGAAAACACTTATTTGAAAAAAGTGTTTTCAGATTTGCTTCACACTTCCATGTGCTCAGGGAAAGTAGAGTCTGACTGTAAGGGGACAGGGGGAAGAAGCTGTAGGGGGAAGACGTTGGTGGACATAGAGGCAAAGGGGCCACCTGACCCCATAGATTATTTTCTTGGCTGTAGCAGTGGGAGTAGGACAAATTCGGGACAAACCTCCAATAATTATATTCTATACCTGGAAAATTGTAATAAATGTATACATTTTCCATATATAGAATCTAATTACTGGAGCACAGTCTTATATTCAGAGTCATTTATATTCAAGTAAATTCAGTACTAAAATCAGCAACCACCACAGGAAAACATTTGAAACTTGGAAGTTAGGTAAGAATTTTAAAATAACCCAAATCCAATTTGCAGAAGTTGCTACTGCACTTTGAGACCCAAGTCACACTGACCTTCAGTACAATTAACGCTTGAAAATTATGTGAAAATGGAGGTTTAAGTTGCCACTGGGCAAAATTTGGAAAGTACTTTTCATTCAATGTTTAATATAGAATTTACAAACTAGTGCTGATCTTGGCATCAAAAACGCAGACATAAGAATGCTAACAATTAAAAATTATGTTTTATACACTTGATAACTTTGAATAATTTTTATCCAGGTAGGGTAGGACTAAACATGCAGCTTTTCTCATTATTTGTAAAAACACCAAAAGAGAGGCACCATCAGCCAAACAAAAAGCAACACAACTATCTATGGTTGGCTGATGAATCTTTAATCATCAGACATATTAGATCTTAAGGGAACTACCAATGCAAACATTTTTGAACTTCAGAGAAGGACTGAAGTCTCAATTTCAAATACCTTTAGAGATCTAGAATGCAGATCTGATTTTTGTAACTCTTCTTTAATATCCTGATTTCTAACCCTTTGTTTTTGAACTTTCTTTTTTTTGACTTGTCAGACTATCTCAAAAGCATAGGCATAATATATCCTAAGTAAGTTGCATTCCAATTATTCTGAGTATATATTGTTAATATGTAGTCTATAGAACCAGAGAAAATTAGGGCTGGGAGGTCATCTAGTCCAACCTTGTGCATGAGACAGGATCATCCCTAGCAAAATCCATGGTCTGACATATTAGCAAAACTTCACAGTCAACCTCCACAAGACATAACACCATACCCTACCACAGATAAAGCAGGGGGAGCATAGTCACCAACATCTTGCTGCTGCTAAGGTTGTTAAAATATGGTGAAGAGATCAAAGGAAGAGGGCCATGCCCCCTGCTACAGAGGCAGGCAAGCACCTCCCCCCACCATCTATACCAATTTGATCATGAGGTAAATTCCCTCCTGACCCCAAATGTAGCAATTAGTCTGCCCTGAGCAGAGGAGCAGGATCCTCTAGCCAGGAACCTCTGGGTTTAAGTTCCAGTAGGAGCATGGGCACACCCCAGTCAATAACTCCAGTCTTGGCTATAGCCAACACCCAGTGCTTCTGAGGAAGGTGAACCCCCTTTCACAAACGTGTAGCAGCAGATATGGAAAAAAATTCCTTCCTGGCCCCTTATGGCAATCAGCAATACCTAGAAGCAGGGAAATACCTATGGCATAACATAGGCATAGCTACTCTTAGACCAGGGGGGGGCAATTATTTCAGGTGGAGGGCTGCTTACTGAGTTTTGGCAAGGCATCGAGGGCCACATGACAGGCAGCCAGGGGTAGATAAAAATTAACTTTCTAAATTTTTTAGGGGCCCTGCAGGCTGGATAGAATCGCCTGGCAGGCCACATTTTGCCCACTCTTGTCTTAGACCATCCCTGACCAATTCTTATCCAATTTCTTTTTGAGCATTTCCTGGGATGGAGAGGCCACAACTTCCTTAGGCAGTCTATTCTACTGCCTGACTTTTAAAACAGTGAAGAAATGTTTCCTGATATCCAGTCTAAACCTACTTTGCTGTAACTTCAAGCCATTGGTCCACATCCTACTCTCTGCAGCAAGAGATAAAAGGTGTTTTCCCTCTTCTTTATGTTGCCCTTCAGATATTTGAAGACTGCTGTCATGTCCCCCTTAAGCACATTTTCTGCAAGCTGAGTGTGTCAACTTCCTTCAGTCTCCTCATATGTCTTGCCTCCCAAACCTTGTGTCATTTTTGTTGCCCACCACTGGACCCTCTGTAACTTCTCCATGTCCTTTTTAAAACTGCACACAGTCCTCTAGATGAGGCCTAGCTAGTGCTGAGTAAAGAGGCACTATCACCTCCACTATCTTGCACCTAATGCTTCTATTGATGCATCCCAAAACCTTTCGTGCAACTTCATCACACTGCGGACTCATACTGAGTTTGGTATCTACCAAGACTCCCAGATTCATCGCAGTGCTGCCATCCAGTCAGGTGTCACCCATTTTGTATTTGTTTTCAATTATCTTCCCAAGGTGCAGCCCTTTGCAGTTGTCAACACTGAACTTCATGAACTCCTGTTATCTCCAGCCCAGCCTAGTTATCATAGAAGCACACAATCATAGAAAAATAGTGTTGGAAGAAACCTCAGGAGATCATGTAGTCCAGCCTGCTCAAAGCAGGATCATCTGTACTCAAACAATCCTATACAAGGATCTTATAATAGCTACGTAGCTATCAGAACTGCAGAAACAACTACAAAATGTGTGTCTTTGAATTAAAAAGGCATAAGACCAGATCCATTCTTATAAAAGACTAAGTAATTTTTTTCCATAATGGCAGTAAGAATAAAGTTCTACTTGACTCTAAGGTATAATAAAAATGTAATTGTTACTTTCAGGTTAATCTGTGAATTTTTGACAAAGAGGTATCAAACATATAAAGTGTTTTTGATAATAAATCAAGAATAAAAGTAGCATTAGCACTAATTTTCCAAATGTTTAAATCTCTGATAACTTCCTGATTTGACAATGTTAAGAAACAAACCTACAGCAACAGTTAAATGAACAGTAACCCCATCTAATAATGCAATCAAAATGTTTTTATGATTGAAAAACTACAATGTAGAGCAAGCGAAGCTTAGTGGCAGCAGCATTTCTGCCACATGTTTCTGATTTTTCAGTATGGTTTTAAAAAGGTGCAGTCCATAACTACTAAAGCCAGTGAAGTTCTTTCCACTGACTTTGTGGGATTTGGACTGGGTCCAACCTGATTGGAGATTAATGTTCACTTATAAAAAGTGACAGTGTCTAATAAAACTAATATACAAGCTCCATTTGTCAGTAAATATGTTCTCTCTCTTCCTCACCAAAGTGCCCCTACCAAACAGGAGATATAGCCAGAATGCTACGCCTGACACCTTTACAAGCTGCGCAACATCTATGCCAAACAGCAGATACAAAGAAGAGGTTTATGACTCCAGCATCATGAAACCCAGCAAAATGGAAAACAGAGTACATCCACATCACCATCATCTCATTAAAGAAGAAAACAAGTTTCCTTTCAGCAGAGACCTCCAAGAAAAAATGATTGCTAATGAAAGTTCTTTTTCAAACTCCGTAACTAACTCCTTGTTACCAAAATCAGAATGTTTCCAGTCTAAGGCTATTGGACAATTAAACCATCTCCTGCCAATGCCATCAGTATATGAACAAACAAGGAGAATTTGCATGAAAGAACCAAAATATGGGCATATTAGCCACCATGCTACAAATCTGGATGAACTGGATGATGATGACAGAATGGCAGTAAAGCTTGATCATGACTCTGAAAATGAACATATGATGGATATGAGGCCTACTGGACAGGTTCCATTTGTACTTCTGAACTATCATCATGTTTTAGCCAAACATGGTACCTTTCAGGCCTCATCATGTACAGCTACAGGACATGTAGCAGAAAATTATGGATACAGTTCTGAAGAGGTAAATACATTTATTTACAAAACCCAAAGCCCATCATCAGCTTCTTCTCCAGAAACCCACAAGGAAACAGCACTCCCGCATTATATTGGAACTTCTGTAATAATAGCCAATGGAAGGTGACAATAATAGAAATGTTTTTCTTAATTGAAAGCAAACCAAACTGCAATGATTTCCAAAAAGCATGGGAAAACATGGTTCCATTTACTGAGACAGAAGAAGGTCAATGAAGGACAAACTCATGTGTTCTTGGCAAGCCATGTGTAACAGTACCTTTAAGGTCAAAAAAATACATCCAGCTTCAGTGCTTTGTTATTACAGATGAATCTCTGGTGTAGACTCTGCCAGTGAAAAGCCATGTAACAGATCATATTTTTGTTATTTTACAGTGTGCAGCAAAATTCAAGGACAGGAATTATATGCAGAGATTTATACAACTTTCTTTTCTTTTACAAAAATAAGACTCCAAAATATATTCAAGATTTTTACTATTATGATCAACTTTAGTTTAAAAAAAAATCTGAAAAATATTGTGTAAAACAGGTCAACTTTCCATCCATGCTTTAAACAGCCTGACAAATGATTTTTTTTTAAAAAGGGCACTTAATCTTGAATATCAATGACAATTGTATGAACTACACACAAATCACAATCTTGAAAATGGCTATTTTGTTACTTTGTCTAAAACAAAGTTAGATAGGTGTAGCTTTATTATATATTTTAACATGGATGGAGTCAAGAATTCACAGCTTATTGCTATGACCGTATCCTTCAACAGAGGGATGATAAAATGTCAAAACCAAGAGAGAGAGATATGTATTAAGAAGTTTTTGGTCCTGTCATGGCACAACAGGAAATCACACTGCAGGGATTAAAGATTAGTCGCAATAAAAACTGTGATAAGAAATAACTTCTTCAAAGTGTGTTCCACTGACTGTACTGGGAGAAGACTCTTCACTCTTTCAAACAAACTAGTCAAAAAACTGTCCTGATCCCAGCACCAGAAATTGCTTCCAAATTGTCAAGGAAATAGTGAAACTTCTGAAGCTTTATTCAAAACATGCTGACAGTCGATGGAAGTTTGAAACGGTTCAGGTTTTTTTAACATAGGATTTTCTCAATGTTGAATCCAATTGCTGATGCAAAGGCAAGGTTCAGGTTTGACTAATTCTTGTCTTTTTTGATGGACAGTTTAGGTGCAAGATGACACTGCAGAAAGCAAAGCTGCTTCCATTTGTAGCTTGAGCTCAACATTTTGTACAGCTCTTATACCTAGTTATAATACACAGTTTCCAGCATTTAAGATTATGGGACCATCCCATGCCATTAAGTTTTATTCAGCATTTTCAGTGGAATAGGAAGTGTTTCTTTTTTTTCCCTCTCTCTACAGTGTACACACTAGGAAATAAGGAGACACGTATTTGCACTTATCTTTTACAGGTAAATGACCCATTGTGATTTCTTAGTCACTTCCCCAAATATTTTAGTGCTTGCTAAAATAACAAATGACTCCCTAGAATAATGTATGTAAACACAAATAGTTACAAACCTTGGAATCAAAGGGTATTTTATATGAAGGCTAGTGTAGATCCAAGTCAGCAATATTTAGTTCTATTTCTTAGCCCCATTCAGGCTAGCTATATTACATTATAAAAGCTTTTTATCTATTCAAGTTAAATTTAAATGTCATCAGACTCATGGTCTGTATGAACATGTCTAAAGAAATTACTTACATGGCTTGTGCAATATTGAAAAATACTTTGTCATGGATTGCACCTTGTCAAAGACAAATGTGTTAAAAGATGTAATAAATAGATACATTTCTTAATAAAGCATTTCCTGTATTTTATACACGGCAACAGAATTAAGTCACCTTCTTAAGTCTATATGAATATTTATTATTATAAAAAGTAAACAGAAATGCTTTAAAATATGGTTACAAACAATTTGCAGCATTTTTACTGCCTTCCTATTAAAAGGTTCACAACTCTGAGGACCTTATTTTGAAACTGAGCTGATGCACTGCACTTGCAAGTTCTCAGTTAAGTGATTTTTTTCATTCACTTAAAGTGCTTTTCCCCTATCCCATATAGGTTCATGATAATGCTCAAGAAAAGTATTCACCAGTAGCTACTAGATTTTAATGCCTTTAATGAAAATATTCAGTGCAAGTGCAATCTGTAAGTCTCTAAAGCTAGAGCAGAGTCAGGTTTAATAGTATTTTACAAGTGAATTTTATTATCATGCTTAACTTAAATATTGTGATTAATAGATACAAGTCTGAGTATAACAGCTTTGTTCGCATTACCTGACCTTCCAAATTAGTATCACTAATGTTTGTATCAAGTTTAGTTACTAAAAGAGGATAATTATTCCAAGACTTGTGTGTTAATTTTGTAAAATTGAAAACATGCCCCACAGGAAGATAACTGATATTGTCTGCATCATTAAAAAGAAACCTGATGCACAAGTCTTGCATACTACACTTTGCTATATACCTCATTAGCAGTATATGCTGCACACAGACTCAGTCTGGTGTATTTTTTTGAGTGGGTCTCATTAGAAAAACATGACTTGAGGAATGCACAAGTTTGGCTTGAGCAAAAAATATGTCACCCATATCTTTCAGTGAAATACCACAAAATATTTCCCAATGTCTACCTTGTTATTCACACTTTCAGGCTTCATTCAATGAATATGAATAATGGAGGTGTTCCATCATTCTCCCACAGATGTTTTATAGTACATGAAATTCAGATACGTAGAGATTTCCAGTTAGGAAATAAAGAATCAATTATACATTCACATATGATAATGTGGATTAGTTTTCAGAATATGTATTTGTGATTAAAAAACCAAATGTGAAACATTTCCCTTACCCACCCAAGAAAAAAAATGGTGATTGCATATTCACATCTGGAATGTGAATGGAGAATTCTGTACAGAACAAGTTCAGACATATTCTTGTAGACAGTTAAACTACAGATGTTGAAAGCATGCGCACAGTAGTAATTTTTTAATATCAGGAAAAGTTATTCCGTGTAAGTGAACTGTGAACTGGAATGTACGAGGAGAAATAACCTTTCATGTCTTTTCTGTGCCCTGCTCATCTAAGCCAGAGGTACCTTTACCATAAAACTGCAGATTTTTACACCAAGCCTTATTGGGGTTTCTGGCACAGCAAGGGAACTGTAAGGAGATATAACATGTTTTAATGAAGAGAGAAACTGGAAACTTTATTCACTTACTAGCATTTAAGTGGCAAGTGAATTCAAATTCTTTATTGAATATGATCTTGTAATTTCCAAATTAAGCACAAAAATATTCACAACAGATTAGTTGTTTGAAAATATACCACACAGGTAAATCCAAGATTTTTTTATGAAAGAGTGGAATACCAGCCAGAGTGCTAGTACTTGTTTGACATGCATAAAACATGACAGTAACTCTATTTCTCAAGAATAAACAGCAGATGTCCACCTTCTTCCCCCTCCCCTCCCCCCCAGAAAATTAGATTTTCCTTTCTTATATGATACACAAATAAACTATGTTGGGCAAACATATGTGGAAAAACAAGTAAAACACAAACAGCCTATTAATGCTCAGAATTATATATGTATTCCCTGAAAATGTAAAGCATTTTTGCTTATTTATTATGTAAAACAAAAAACCTGTTAAGATGTTAATAAAATACAGTAGCCAAAGGAGCACTATTTGACTGTTTTTAATACAAAAACAAGGCATCTTTAGGAGGTTAACAGATAGACATACAGTATGAAATTTTCTGAAAAATTATTTTGATTATTTTAATTATAACAATGTATTTGACATCATTTACTTACAGAGATTATTCTTTTAAACTATAAACTTGCAGGGGTTTAATTTGTTTGCTTGCAACTGCACCTATGAATTTATAACAACAGTTTTATCTTGGAGACCTGAACACCAGGTTTGTTGACTGGAAGTAAATGGAGTATTTATATATAATACAAACCGCACACTCTCAAAAACTGTAGGACAACCATATTCTGTTAGTTGCCATTATCTTTGTCCTCAATCAGAACTTTTCCTGGGGGGAAAGAACTTTTCTCAGAACTTTTTTCAGAACTTTTCCTGAAGTTCCTGGGGCACTTTCAGTGTGAGACGTCATTATTTTGGTGTCCAGCCAGTTCTATGAATCACTACAGCGGCATAAGCACGTAATATACTTGGATAAATCCAGCTCCCCAGGAAACCAGCTAATACATTTCAACTCTGGTACCCAACCCAACTAAAAGAAGCATCAATTCAGCTCAAGCACAAATGATGTATGCCTTTTTTCCAGGCCAAATATTTCTAAGCTGCAATTTTTCTTGCAGAACTGTATGTGTTCTATTTGCCCAACTAATTTTAAAATGTGAATTTTTTCGGACTATTAAAGTTCAGTGGCCAAAGCAAAAAAGGGTCCAAAACAAATATTCAAAAATATTTTCTTACCTGAAATACCTGAGCTGCAGCATAAAGATATAATAATTTTTAGTACACTTTTGAAATGCAGCCCTTTAAGTATGTTATACTTTCTGAATAGGTACTTAAAATGCACTATAGTCTTATAAAATATTTTAATAGGAGGAAAGTGCACTGAACTCTTAATTCTAAGTATACACTAACATTTTCAAAACTCTGGAAACCACATCAGATCTGTTTAGATAAAACATCCTCACACTCCCCCGGCTTGCTCAGCATACATTTTGCCATCAATAATCTCTACAGATATGTGTACAGTGTGTAATGAGGAGTTTTATAACCAAGTCCAGGAGAAAAACTCAAGTTGCAGAAACCTGGGCAGTGTAATAAAATATTTTAAAGCACTTCATCAAGAAAATAGTTTGAGATATGACATCAGCCTCACAATGAAAGAGGTGTTTTACTAATCTAGACATTTTAATAATATTATATATTTTTAGTGCATTACTTCTGGATTTGGGGATGGCTCCCTCTATACCTGTGCCCAGAGACATTTCCACACTGCATCTGTCTGTCTTGCATAGGGAATTGTTGCAAAAAATAGTGTTCATACAAAAATTCTATGACTTTTTGTGCCAAGTTTGGCACAAAAAAAAAGGACTGCAGACTGGGTTCCCCATATACCTTAAGATGAGTGTGGTATAAGAAAGACCATGTATTTTCTTGACAGTAACAGCTGCTAGTCAGAATGAACTTATTCAGCTGTTCTGTATAAAACAGGAATTTTCTTTGTAAAATTCTTTGGTACTTCTGAAGCAAAAGTCAAATGTTTCATCCATCTCAAGGCTCTTTTTCCTCCCTCAAGACAATAGGTAGTCTTGTACACTCAAGAATAGGCCATTAAGCGTAAAGGCAAAAATAGTGTATTCCCACACCATCTACTTGTGCTGTGACAGGTCTACACTTCATTAGTTTTCATTTACCAAAAGGAAACTAAATGATAACTTTTTCCAATGCAGAAGTTTCCACAATAGCAGCAAAACTTAAAACAAAAAATCTGTTTTTCATTAAGAAGCTCTCACATACATTAAAAAAGTAACGATAGCAACTATAAAAGACTGGCATTTTATATAAAGTAATATATCTGCCTGCTGTACAGACCCTTGCCATTGCAACTAAGTTAGACAGACATTTGGTTCTTCCCTTAATGAATAGCATTTTATAGTTTTTTCCATTGGCTTTTTATCTGTCCTGGCACAGGGTGAATATGTTTTAAGAAGCGTAATTCAAATTAAAGCCTGCCATACAGTCCAGTCCTTCAGAACAATCCATGTGGGCAGACCTATAGTGAGTTTCAGTAAAGACAACAATGTTTTTGTAGGCTTACAGGTCTGGTCTGTACAAAAGTATTACAGCCTGAGCTAAACATTTCACACCTGAAAGTGGATGAAAATCTTCCCAAAGTTTTGGAGCGACTGGACCCAGAGTCTTGGTTTTCTTTTATGAAATATACCAGGCACAGGCACCAAATTCTGCTCTAGAGCCAACCTTCCCTAAAGTTTACATGTACTTGAATCTGGAGGCTTTTCAGTCAGGGCTTATCAATTACAAAATTTATCAGGAAATTTTTCACAGTAAAATTTGCACAAGGGCTATTTCAAGCTAATTAAGTCACTCTGGTATGGGCCAGATCAAACAAAGGTGGCTACTTAAAATCAACTCTGTTCAGAAAAAATAATAATCAGTAGTTTGATATGGCTCTACCTATGCTAACTCTGCTTTACAGAGAGGCTGGCCGGCTGTGCCCTTTCTGTGGTAGTCAGGTTTTATATTAAGAACTGTAACACAAACAGCAGCTTCCTGGAACTAATCCAGGCATACAAGAATCAGATTGGGAATGTGCTGCTCTGTATTAAGAGGAGGTTTTCATGATGAAATCAGACAGACTAAGAAAAGCTAAAAGCTATGCTGAGTTTTCTGTTCACTAGCGATAGAAGGTAAGGCTAGCAAGGAAAAAGAAGCAGTGTTGAAATTCTTTCATCTGCACCTAGCACGTAGTAACATGTACAGACTGAAAGAAAGATAGGCAAAGAAGGGAGACCAGGGCCCTATCTAGACACAGAAGCTGTGAATGCATGGGCAGATTTGTTCTTTGTTTTCAAGAAGTTACTAAATCGGACAGATTTGAGTTTTAAACAGCCCCAGCAATATATGTTAATACGTATTTGCCAAATTAGCAGCCAAACGTTCCTGTTCCAAATGTCACTTTAAAACCAAGCTATATTCTTCCATCATCAATACGTAGTGGGAAGAAAAAAGTCAGACTTTACTGAACACATACACTATATTAAATTAGTCATTCAAGCTCTGCTTAGACTCTACTATTATTTCTTTCACAGTTTGAGTGTACAGTCCTATATGATGCAAGAACCATACCATTTGGGAAACCAAAAAAGTGAGAGACAGACTATGATATGGAGCTCAAAATCCTTACTTTAAGTATAATGAGGACAACTTAATCTCCAGCAATTTATTGCCAAATCATCCAAACTCCAATATGTAAGGATTACCCTAATCTACCATTACAGGCCAGCTTCTTTCCTTTCCTTAAAACTGCTTGGATTTGTAATTGAGACAATCTACTAACATTTTCTGATTATTTGTTAAGTGAACTTTAACCCACAAAAATCCATTTCTGGCTAGAAGACAGGAGCATATTTGTGGGAGCCTAAGTGGTTGCGCTCTGCTTCTTACGGAAGAGGTATGGAGCTCACAAATGGGTAACCCACACTAGGAAACAATGTCGACCACTGACCAGTTCACACTTGATGTGTGCAGACTAGGTTTGAGGTCATTCCTCCAGAAAGCAGCCTTTAGATGTGAACTTGAAATGATATGAACCTGAAATGGCCAGAATTTCAGGTAGCCAGTTGCAAATAAAGAACACTTCTGTTTTTTTTCACTACTGCTTATGCAGGTGACCTGAGAAGCAGGGTTCTGTCTCTTGTCTTAACATCTGGATAGAGTTTGTTGTTTTATAGATCAGGTTAAATATATCGAACCCTAACAGTCATTCTCAGACTAGGGATTTTATGGCAAAAGAGACAGGGGATAATAGTGATTAAGTAGTCTCTGGACTGGACAACTGTGGCACAGGATAAAACGTTCTTGAAAGACCATGGTTTAAGAAGGAACAGGGTGATTTATTTCTATCTTGTTAACCATCTTAGAATATGAAAAGCAGAATACACCTCAATTCTGGGAACTTTACACAAATTCAGTTCATAGGCTCTTATGGTAAAGAAGCCCCAACACAAGGCAGACATACATGAGAGGTGCAAAAGGTCTATCACTATTGCAAGGCAGAATTATAAGATGAAGGAAGGATTCAGAGGCCCATGTGAAGAAAACCAGACTGAAAAGTGTCTTACTGGTTTCTACAGGTGAATTTTAATCTACCTACAGAGTGGCGCCTTAAGCTCAGAACTGTAATATTCCTACCATTTGCCCTTAGGATGTGTGTGAATTCTTTCAGGTGTGTCCTCCATAGCTGATAAAGGAAGCAGAACTCACTTCTTTAAAAATGCATAGAAAGTTATCTAAATATTTTAACTGCTGATACCCAAAGCACAACCATGGAAAAAATGTCATTATGTAGAGAGTTTATTAAAAACAAACAAGCATTTTAGATTGTAAGTCTACTGCATGAGTGAAACAGTAAAACCTGATCCTTTCCAACTATGTCCCTATTTTCAATGATAACAATGAACAGTAACTTTTAAGTTGAGGCAAGTGAAAGAATAAGGATTTTCAGTAAAGAAATGCCACTAACTTTTGTATCAGCTTCTAAGTAAGATGTCCAGGCTAAGAAAGAAGAAACCAAGTCTTAAGGGAAAGACCGATTTTATGCCAACTCCTAGCTCCCTCTCACCCCTATTTTTTTTTTTTTAAGTATACAACATGAAAAATGCTAACTGTTCCTCTGGGCCACTGGCTAGACAACCCAGCAGAAATAAAACAGTAATGTAAAAGCAACCGGCAGCCTATGAGCATAGTGCTTCTATACTTAAGCTCTAAATCATAACCGGCTTGATACAGTGTCTGCAGTAAAGTTTAATTGATAGACCCTGAATATTAAACAGTCTTCTCAGAGCAGCCATTTTTACCAAACTTGACGGCTATTGCTGCTTTGGGATTATAAGGTTTCTCAGCATGTCAAAAGAGTTACCATCAGGATGCACAGACTCTACACCTTTGCCTTCCTCGTGAACTTGAAGGAATCCACAATCATCAATACCAACAATCCATGCTATTGGGCCCTCCTCGCTCTGGAGACGGACTTGTTTACCACTGCAAAAGAAATTAAATTGAACAGGTTATAACAGAATCCAAAAACAATTCAATGGGGATGACTACATCTCTGCGATTAGGCTAAACAGTAAAGAAGGGAACTTAAAGTCTCTACTACGAAAGATTGTTATTCTTCACTTATCTGCTCTTCAGAGAAATGTTCTATATGTTTAATCTTCTCCTTGCACGTCTCTGTGGAAAGCCTGGCCATCTATTTTTCCATCTCATGTATAATACTCATTAATACAGAAGAATTTCAACTTAAGCAAAGCAAAGAGCTATCAAAACCAAAAAATTCTGGTTTTAGAAATGATGCATGCAAGATGCCTCACAATGTAATTAATTTAATTTATCCCATTCTAGCACAAATATTCATATCATTTTACCAGGTAAAACACACGGCAGTCCATACTTCTTTAAAGGTACTCCACTAGAACACTCGCAATGAAAGGCAGATAGCTGAGTTTTTCCTAACTCTCTTAAAAGGGAATTAAAGAAGAGATGAACAGAAAATAAAGCTATGCTTACCTGTGCACCCAATATTTATAGTAAAGGGGAAGAACTCCATTAGGCCCTTTTTCCTGAAAAGTGTCTATCAGTCTTTCAAGCACAGTTACAGATTTTGCAATCAGATAGTCTGTAGTTAAGCACTTGAGCTTTGTGCCATATTTTTTATTGTGTTCTTTGATGAGATCATTGATGCAAATAGTAGGGTTGCTATTATTCACATTAAATCCAAAACCTGAGCAAGAAAAGGGAAAAAGAAAGAACAGCATAGTACAGGAAACCCAAATTCTTCTCTTTCCAAGTAATGAAACAATCAGTTTCTTACCATAAAAATAAATATGCCTGTCCTTCCACAGCCATTTGGTGGGAAATCTTTGTAAAAGTTTTATCCACTAATGTATCAATTTTCTTCATTCTCTTGTATTCCCAAATCCATCCCCTTTCCTGGCTAACTTATATTTCAGTATCCTGCCTTAAATTCCTTTCTGCTGATAGATGCCAGTTCAAACAGCTCCAATATAGCCCCCATTCTAACAAACTCATAACGAAGACTAAACTAAATATTAGTATCAAGAAAGATGCTAACTAACTTGGCCATACAGCCATTAAAGTAGAAAATTCCTTCAATTGTTTTGTGTTGATAGATAACCACCAAAATATCTGAGAGCAGATGATTAACTATACTCTGAGACTGAATTTTATCTAGCAGCCTAAAATGTGACTAAGAGCCTCTTCTATTTACTAAAGTTAACTGATTTCACGTTCTGAAAACCAAGCCTTTTTCTTAAGCTCACAAGTCAGCAATTGGTTTGCTGGGAAAAGTCCAGAAGAATCTGTCAGGATTAGACTCCAGCTCGTTTAATCTATCTTGCTATAGTATCCTTTAGAAGCTTAAAGTTCCTCACTGAGGTTACTCCAGCTAGGATAATGTTGGCAAAAAGCCATTCTTGTTTAAATATGGCTCTTGGGGCCTTTTTTGCAGCCTGCTGAAGCAGGCTTTGAGGGATGTAAAGAAATATCTTGAATTACCTGTTTATTTTTCTCTCCCCTAATAACGTGGACTTTCCTTTCTTTATGCAGTTCGAGAGCAGAATCAGACTTGTCACTCAGGTTTAGGGATAAGATACCTTCCTCTATAGGAAGCTCCAGATCATGTTATTTTACAACCTTGATACTAATGAGACACTTAAAATGTGTAATTAATTCACCCTGAACTACCTTGAGAAAGCAGGTTCTCTACATTATTGAAGATGCTTTAAAAATGCTGAGTATGCACATGAAAGGGAGAGCTATATAGGCCATAGTGTTATCCACTCCAAATATATCCGAACCACTGAAAGAAGGGAGGGAAAAGGAATATGATACAAGATGACAAGGAAATTGAGATGGAAAAACCTAACACACTATGCTAAACAGATATAGCCCACAGACAGTCATTTCCATTCAAACTTGATAGATGTGAATAAAGAATTTAGGTCCAGATCCAAAAATAGAGACTTGGGCACAATGATGCTCACTGTCAACTACATCTGCCTGGCTCCTGTGGTAGAATTCACAAGTTAGATGGTTAAGTTCCCTATATAGTAAATGGGAAAAACAATGTGCCTAAGAGTGAGACTCACCACAGCCAACATGCTAACGTACTGACCAGGGAGATGCCTAAGCTAGTAAAGAGGAAATTTTGAACAGGGAGTATTGTCCAAAAGCCTGCCTCTTACCCAAGCTTAGTTGCCACCTTCAGCCCTGAGTTAGATGACTATACAAGACTGGGATTTATAGCCCAACCCCCCTCCTGAACTTTGGCACTTTGATTGTCTTTATGAGTAAGAACAACAGCCTCATTCTTCTCTTTTAAAATATGGACATGGATGAAGGAGGAGGCACGGATGGTGGTGATGGTGCGTGCTTTTCCTATAACAATTTAGTTGCCAGAGTACCTATTAGGAAGTGGGAGATCTAGTTCAGTGGTTCCTAATCTGTGGTATGGGTACCACTGGTGGTATGCAAATAACCTATCAGTGGTATAGGTTAACAGATTTATTCTAATTACTTTATATGACAAACATTTGCTGGTGGTACTTAAAGTTGAACTGAAAAATTTGATGGTGGTATTTAAGGTGGTATCATTTTAAATTGGTAGTGCACAATCTTCAGAGTTTGGGAACCGCTGATATAGATCAATGCTCTTCTCTCTTCAGTGAGCAAGTACAAACCCATGTTACCTCCACTTTAACAAGCAGTTCCAGGATAGGCTAGACTAGGACAAGGGTGCTCTCCACCTCCCCTGCTAAAGCTGGATCGCTAAGTTAAAAAGAACTTCATATGTCAGAGAGAAAATGAGCATGAGGGAGCCTGCCTATAACCAGGGAAAGGTGACCCCTCCTGTGAGAAAGGAGCTTTCAGTTCTAATAACTGCCCTTGCATTGTTCATACATTTTATAAAATGGCTCTAATGTAAATTGCTCAGGCAACACCATGAGCAGAAGATCAAACTGAAGCCTTAGAAATCTTTACACACGGACACATGACTTTGCTTTGGATGCCTGATTAAGACAGCTGGCTAAAAGGGCCTTTCTGACTGTTTTTGCTTCAGAAAGGGACACTTCGTGGGTGATCAGCAGGGATCTGGGTTTTCTGTTTCCCATGGAAAAGTGCATATCTTCACCTTTAAAGATGAAAAACCTGTATTTTCCCTTTGAAGTGGGAAACAGCGGGTTTCCTCTTGCACGCTGGCAGAGTTCTGGCCTGGAAAGATCTGCTTGGGGCTGGGGGGAGTGGGAGCGAGCACAATCAGAGGCAGGGGGTGCCACGTGCATGTACACATGCACACACATGTGGCTGGCAATACAGTCAGGCAGGGTGGCAGGAGCAGCCCTGACAGCTAGATGCAGGTAAGTCTGTGGGTGGGGAGGGGTTGGAGGGCCAGGGCTTGGGAACCATTCCATTAGGGCCAAGGGCTCAGCTCTGGTGAGCCTGAATTAGCTCAACAACATCGGAAGGCCCCCCAGTGACACAGGGGTGATCCAGGCATGCCAGAGCATGGCGCAGGGCCCCAATGGACTGGGGCAGGTTCGGGCTTTCAGGGGCCAAACTCTGATGAGCCCAAACTGGTCCTGTAGCATCGGGGCCGGGGGGGAAGTGGGGTGGGGCTGATGGCACGGGGTGGTCCAGGCACATACACTGGTGATGTGTTGGGGAGGTAAGGGGTCACATAACCCTCCCCCCACAGATTTCTGCACTGATAGCGGGGCATGGGGCTGCGGCTTGGCTGGACCGGCAGGAGTTGCCTCCATGGCCCAGCAGGCAGGACCCAGCTCAGGAGGGCAGAAAGGGGCATGGAAACTCAGTGCTGCCGCCACTGCCGGGAACCCCATGCCAGCTGCACTGCTATGGCAGCTAAGGTGAGGTGCTCCCTTCCTGCCCAGCAACAGCAGGGGTGGGGCTGGTGGCACAGGGCAGTCCTGGCATGCCAGAGCTTGGCGTGCAGCCCCGATGGCATAGGGCCATTTTGGGCCATCAGGGGCCAAGCTCTGACAAGTCAGAACTAGCCCTACACCATCGAGGAAGGGGCCATGCTCCAGGAAGTCACGTGCACTCCATTCCCCTCCCCTCCGGCCTCACACACCTACCCCCTACCCCACACAATGCGGGGTTGCGGGAGCAGCTGTGGGACTCCCTGAGGCAGGGCTGAGGGAGGTAGGGGGCTGCAGGTTGAGAATGAAGGGTACCCCCCACAGCTTGGTTTTCCCCACAGCTTGGTTTCCCCCACAGCTTGCTGTCTCATCCTCTGCCCCATCCAAGCTGAGGTAGGTCCCTGCCCTGGACTGCTGTGACACTGCTCACCCCCCACCCCCACCTCACTGCCCTGGGTGGTTGCCGCCCTTGCTGCTCACCCATAAGGCCAGCTCTGTCTGCAGGTCATACTGGCAGAGTTGACGTTGGCAGGACAGGGGGAGCTCTGACTTTCCATGATAAAAAACCCAAAATCAAATGCCAAAATACATAGATATTTAGAATGTATTTTACTATAATGATTGGAGGCACTGGTAGGCTTCAAAACTGCTTTAAGATTTTAAATATATCCATAAAACACTGTTCAACTGTGTCCTACATATATAGTGGCATTTCATTTTAATTGCAGAAAAACACACATTTTGGGTTTTTTAACCAGAGAATTTTGGATTTTTTAACAGAGAAAACCAGGATCCCTGGTGACCAGGGCACACAGGATCTTTAGATGTCTTTGTATCTACAGGTATTCATTATTACCCTCCAGTCACTGAATGCTTTTCTCTGGAACCGGATAACTTGGTTTATAAAGAGAAGCCATGTTTGTAGAAAATGATGGATGCTTTTAGCATGGCAAGTAATCTTTCCCTGTTGTAGCCATCTGATATCACTACTACTACTAATCCAAGAAGGAGTTGATGTAGTTCCCCAGTATTCTCAAGGCTGTCACCAGAAGAGTGAAAGACATCACAGGCATCCTGGAGGTAATATTGAGGGGTAAGAGGAAAAGAACTTTTGACTGGTAGTGCAAACTATGGCACAGAAATCTTAGAAACTTCCAGTTAAACTTAAGAGGGTGTGATTACCAAATTAAAATATACATCTTTTCAGAGCTACTGTTGTGAATAATCTTTTTCTGAAGATCACTGAGGGAAACAAATTAGTTCCAGATTGAATCTGAATGTTTTGGTGCATGTGTTGAGCAATTCCAGGTCCAAAGTAAAGTGTAATAATAAGCCAGTAAAAGGATTTCCTATACAAGAAGGTAAATTATTTTTCAAGACCTTTTTTTCCAAGACAGGTTTGATTTTGTCTTTGGACAGAACATTATTTCATAGATATTGACTTCAGGGTAGAATGGCTCTGAAAAAACGTATGGAAGCAGCATGCACTTTTAAAAAGACAAAAGAGGAAGCTTAAGTGTCTCCATGCAGTTTCTATTATCTATATGTAAACTCATTAAAAAAATATAATCAATTTCTAAAGCTTTTATTATTCAAAATTAAATGTAATGGCTGAAACTACTATGTAGAAAAAGATGACGACTGACTTCAGCTATGTAATTTGCTTGTATCTTTATATTTAAGCTACCTGGGAAGGAAGCACATCTTCATTCTCTCTGCAAAATACCACACACATTGTGCTATGTCTATCCTCCTGAATTTCTCAAGGGACTGCCACTTAATTTTTAGACGTATCAAGATTGAAGAAAGGAACAATCTGCAGCTTCCTACTGAGGCTAGAACTTGCTACTGAGCATACACAACAGATCTGCTCTGTTCCTTGCTGAACAGAGATGGGAAAATCCACAGCAAAGCAAAGATAAGGTATGAAAAGGCAAGGTAACAGTAGAAACCACAGGAAAAAATTATATGAATGGTTGCTTGCTTAGTTCTTCCCCAGTACAGTATTTTCCAGTGAGGTCCCAGTACAAATGAACGGTCGCCTTCGAAGCTGGATTTAGTTTCTCTTTTTCGAGTGGTGAAGATTGTTTCTGTTCCCCATTATCTAAATGGCTGAAAGAGAACAGTTTAAAAAAAGTCCTACTGGATCTTTCTCTCTCAAAGTCTGAGGACAATGATTAGCTGACCTAGTTCCTACTTACGGAGGTATTCTACTTTTTGAAAAGATACGACCAGGAAAAAATGAAAATACAGTATAACCTCATAAATCTGGCATGCTCGGGATCAAGCACCTGCCAGAAATGTGAAAATTCCGGATTCTCGAAACCGGAGCCGCTGCCGGTCGCGGAGCGGAGGGAGTGGGGGGTAGCGGCAACCAGTCCTGGAGCAGCGGCCACACACAGAGTGGGGTGATGGATGGCAGCAGCAGCAGCCCCCACTTGCAAGCTTCCCCTCCTCCATGTCTTGTGGGGGGTGAGGGGAAACAGCAGCCTGTCCCAGAGCAGCAGCCACACATGGAGTGGCGGGGGCGCGGGGGGGGGGGGGGGCGGAGGGTGTGGGATGGTGCCAGCCACTGCCACGTGCAAGTTTCAGCCTCCGCATCTGGCAGTAGCGTATTTTTTTTAAGTGCTGGATTTTCGAGAATTCCAGATTTTTTATATCTGGATTTATGAGGTAATACTGCATAAGTGAACTATATACAATCTTCATGCTAATTTAAAAAGCATAATTATGTAATGCTTTGGTTATATATGCTTACTGAGGAAAAACACATTAGTACAGTACTTTTTTCTCCCTACTCTACATTTGTGAATGACTACAAAGGTGAAACTGTCCATACCTGTTTTTCCCTTCTTTAAGATCTGTCATACCAATGCAGATGACTGTTTTCAGTTTCTCTAAGCCCAATACATGCAGTGATATAAATCAGTGAAGACACTTGGAGTTTTTTGGGTTTTCTCTTGATTTAGTGAATACAATAGTTTGTATTCCAACTTGCCTACTTGTCCTGGTTTGCTCTTATGCTTGTAGTGTGAATTCACTTAGGCATTCAAAATGAAAAAGCAGGTTTAGAAAAAGCTGGCATAACAATGCTTAAAAATAGATATTTACCAATGAGTATGTGAAACGTTTTTCCCGTAAGTGTAGAAGTCACTAGAACCCCACCAAGCTTCATAAGGTCACTGTAGTAAATATCATTTGGCCACTTCACTCGCAGGTCAATATCCTAAAGAAATAAACGTGCGTTTATAAACATGTCTTTCTATTTCCTTACAGAAACTATAATGGCACACAGGTCATTAAGTCACTCAGTATTCTATAATTTCCATATCACGTTGCTGCCTCAAAATAGGTTAATTAAGGCCTTTAAGAATCGAAGTGTACAGAAGGCTTACTGGATGCAGTTGAAGTTTCCTGGTGGCTTAGTATCAAGACAGATATCATTTAGTAAAAAGTTATGTAGCAGCTACCAGCAGCTTAAAGGCATTGTAAGTAACCCAAAAGGGAGATTAGAAAAGCAGGTAGTAGAGGTCTTCCCTGAACAGATCCATGTCACTGGTATCCACAGAAAAAAATGCAGAATTTATTTACATGCAGTGGAAGTGTATTACAGATTTCAAATTACAGCACCTATTCAAGAAAGATGAAACTGGTGACAACAGCTATTTATAAACTTCACCACTGTAATAAACTTATCCAAGATACTTTGCAGAAATTAGACAGGGAGGCAATGAAGCTCAGAAAGGAAGTTTAGAAAGGAAATTTAGCACAGGAGAAAATTCCAGTGCACAACTAACTGTATAAATATTCGATAAATGCCCTAAAAATATTCACACATTAAGCAGCTATGTTCAGTCTGCACCATGGTTCTGGCAACACAAACTGTGATGCCATTCCACTGCAACGGAGAGGTTTTTGTTAAAACCGCAGAACTGAACTGAACTTTGCACCAGCTACTTAAATACAAAAAAGAAAGCAATTGTGCTTCCTGGAACTTGAAAAACTGTATATGACTAGATCCCAAGAGGCAAATTATGGGAGGTGCTCCTGGAGTACAAGAGTCGGGTTCCCTCCTCCCCTCTTACAGATTATGAAATCCCTTTACAGGATGTGTGAAAACTGCACCTGGATCCATGTCTACTTTCCTGACAGATTTAAAGGCCAGAGAGGATTCCATTACACAGATGTCTCTGCCTATGTGGACAGGAAACGCTAACTGATTCTAGTACCATAAAGAATTCTACGAGAGAACACCAGCAGTATACATTTGTTACTGCCAACACTAGAACATCCCCATTTCACTGTGGAAGGCCTTATAAAAAGATTCTTGAGACACAGTTCTTTTCAAAGTATGCCACAGTTAAAACATCCAGCAAAACAATATTAAAAGATCTTTTCTGGGCACCCTGTGCAGGTCATTATTTTCTGTGTAAATAAGCTTCATCGAACTCAGGAGCTCAGCTGTCTTCATCCTTCCTTAAGTAAAACACACATCACTAAGACCAGTCCTTGCCTATTACTAAGACCAGACACTCGTACCATTAAGAACATACTGAATATGGCAAAGAATAGTCACACAGATAAGCCCACGATAGTTTTCAGTGAGAATGTCTACATGAAAGACTTACTGCACATAAGTGTCTACGTGAGACACTTACTGCATATTAGCCTAATAACACTGCTCAGTAGCGTGTCACGGCAAAAACTGTGCTAACAGCCAACCGTGCAGATACAAATGTGCAGCAAGCATCACTAAATAACCATGCGCCAGTGCTACTGCGCAGTAACTCTAGGTATTGCACATTTAGTTAGTACTTTATTAAGGAAGTACTTAACTAAATGTGTATCTAAGGCCCGTTAATGAACGTGTAAATGCACCCAGTATGAACTATGTTGTAGTGACATGAGTTGTTCGACATAATACCAGTAAAGCAAAGTGAGCTGCTGTTGTTTCCAAAAAAGTTAATGACAACTTTTAAAATTAAAACAGAAGTGAAGTATTTGGCAGTAACTTTGCCAGTTACATACAGGGGTAGCACATGTAAGAGATGAGTAGCTGCTAAACAGTGTTCTGAGATAGACACAGCTGAAACTATACGGACACAAGATTTGCTTGTTTGTATTCAGGCACTGATGTGTACAAATAAAATTTAACATTGAAATATAAGATTTTTCACAGTGATAATCCAGAACTGTAGATGGTGGTATAACTGTTGTCTACATAGAACTGTGAATATTAAGGACAAAGACCTAAAAATGACTGACTGATAATCTGACACACAAATATTTGATACTTTTGTATGGAAATCCTAAAATGGAGTTGGAGCATAGCGAACCACATTAAAGTATGTTAAAGTAATATTAAGGATCTGACACGCCCACAGAGGTATGGAAATTCAGAGCTAGGAATGAAACCCCATCCATAACTTAGTCCATTGTTCCCAGCTCCTGCAGCTCATATGGCATGTATGTTCATCTGCTATGTGGAGAGCCCTGCATTACATAGGTCCAAGAAGGAAATTTAAGCATAGAGTTTCAGATTAAATTTTGAATTTCCTTGCTTTAATGGATTTGAGTCAGACCCTTAACATTATTTTAACCTGCTGTCTGTAATTTGATTTCCTTTCTTTAAAAAAAACCCAGAAACCTAACAGGAAGTTAAGAGAACGTTTACTTTCACTGTTTGGGATGATAGGAAATTAAGTCAGACATATTTAGTGATTTCTCTTGATGAATTCTATTGGTGATCTCCCATTATCTCCAACTATCATATCAGTTCTTTTTAGAAACCCTTCTAACATATGCTTTTTGTTTCTTACAAGACAGATTTCACTGCTTCTTTCTGAACACAACAGGTTATTATGAAACTATAAACCAACATTCAGTAGACTCCTGTATATGTACTACTGGCACATTAATTCTTTTTTGCACCAAAATCCATTATACCAATCAAGTTGCTGCTACCAAATGGGCTAAAGTTAAAAAAGATATCTGAAAAATAGCTTCTGTATGTAACAATACAGAACAGATGGCATGAGTAAGCAAAAAAGTTTCTTACGTTATTAACTCCTTTCCCCTTTTTTATGAATCATAATTTAAAGAGTTCTTTGCTCTCATCTATTTCAGATAGTTAGAAATTAACTCCTATCCAAGGATTTTTATGATGCAAATTTCAGCCTGAAGCAATTATTACAAGCAAGTTAAGAAGCTCTGAAGTTAAGAGGCTTTAATAGAAGGGTTGACAGACCCTGAACTATAGAAAAGCTACCGGGTGCCACTATAATAAGGTTCTTGTGTAAATGTGTATAAGTCACTGATTTTGTATAATACAGGAAACATATGCTTTAGTTAACTAGTTCTGTAAAATACCAAAGTTTTATAGTTAGCAAATATTAGGAAATGGTAACATTAAAAAGAAGATCTATGAGGTGATGAAGAAGATTGGTTCTTCATTTTCACACTGATGACATGACACTTGATTCCCTCTTGAGAGCAATACTCTTAACTTCTTGCTTTAGAAACCATTATTTTTTTCAAACTTTCACAAGAGGTGGAAAAAATCTTTTAAAAGGAAAAAAGTGGCCACTGAAATTGCTCTAACAAAAAAGCAGAAATGGATTTGTCAGTTTTATTCATTTTTTCTTCTCACTTTTCCTCATTGTTTCCATAAACAGTACAAATGAATCCAACAGCAAGAAAAAGTAAACGGTAAATTCATCATCTTTGGAGACTGAATTTTAAAAGCTCAACAGATCACAAGCAAAATTAATTAGGTAATCTCAGTCTAGGCAAGAGCAGACGTTGCTCATTTGGCAAACTCCAAATCTGCTAAAATAATATTTATAAAATAAAGAAAAAAAAGCCTAAATCCACTCTTTTAGGTGGCCATTATACGGTACAGTGATTAGAGAGCTAGAACTTGTACAATCAGTGATGCTGCTTATTGAAGGTCAAGTTCAAGTCTGAACTCTATGGAAGTAAGAACATAATGGGCATTTTAAAACAAATGAAAACCAAATGGGATACCTGATACCCAGGTATAGATCTAACTGAATCCACCACAGCGACAGACATTAGGTGTTGAATAAATGGAATTCTCTGTCCTAGCTGGGAGTCCAAAGGAATAGAGATATGCAAAGTTGCTAGAGCACAGCCCACAGGGCTAAGCCAGACATTTCCGCCACGACCTGATAGGGAAAACAAAAGAACAAACAAAATAGAGTAAGCACTAATATACAGAGCAAAAAATTATATATAGACAATAGGAGATGAGAAACATATTTCTTCACAGATTACATTTATTCTCAGATTACATTTGAGAATCTACAGGAAGTAAATATCCAATAGTTTCCCAAATTATTTAAAAGAAAAGCTATATTAAAATTCTTTGCTTTTTCTTAGAGGGTAATGGTTTTGTTATTATATGCTCAGCCCGTAATGTTTATAGAAACTTCCTAAATAAAGAACTTAGATGCTTCCAGAACTTCCTTGCTGTTTTGTAGTATGACTATTCCTTTTTAATGTGAAAATCTACTAGTGAAAGGTACTCCTGAAAATGCTGGATATTGAAATCTTCTATTTATCCACACCAGAAACCGGGGCGACTCAAGGCGTAAAGTCAAATGGGAGCTTTGACTCTGATTCAGATGGTTTGCTTTAGTTTACTTCCACTGTAGTGATAACCATTTGTATTATATGGAAGGCTTTCTAACAGAAAATAGAGCAGATCATTCCACAGAAGCCACCAAATAATTATTTTTGGTCATTATCAACTTAGGTTGGATTAAAATATGAAAACCAGGGTGGGGCAAAGGAAAGACGATTGCTATATTATTATCAATTCATCTTTCACTATTCAAAATATTCTTGATACAGTGCAATTTATTAAACTATCCAATTGACAACATTAAATACATTTTATTTGATTAGCATTAGAAGACCTACTGACCTTTTCCTTGTGTTTGTCGCACTGCGATAGCTATTAAACCCATTTCCTTAGGCAACTTGAATATCAACCTGCCAATTAGGAACACACTTGTCAGCTACAACAGTGAACAAAGTTCATGAAGATCTACCATCAATGTTTAAATATTAGTTTTATTTCACACTAAATTAAAAGCATGATTTACTCATTTTCAATTATTATTTCTAAGCATATCAAAAGGACACCGGAAGATTTAAAAAAACTAACTGAAAAATTATCAGGTTAAAATACTTAAAAATAATGCATAGTTCAGTTAAGATGCTTACTTTAAGTACACATGGGTTGCATTTGTTCAGACTTTCTCAGGGAAGTGCTTATTCCTCCTAACTTGTGTCACTGTTTTCAGTGACCAGTCTTTAAGGTGCCATCCTGCCTTGCCTTAGTCTGACTTCAGACTAACAGAGCTAACTACCCCTCCATCTTCAGTGAGCGACAACTAGCAATTTCAGACATTTGTTTCTACTTAGAGCAATTTTTGTTCATACTCCAGAATATAACAGCAGCAGTTTCTGATTATTTAGAAAACCAATATGGTGGCAATAAAACAGTTTAAAAGATACACTATCCCCTGAGAACTAATTATGATTTAACTACAGTAAATAAATCTACACCTTCTGAGAACTCTAGAGAACACTGGCTTACTTTAGGCTTGTGTTCTGCTTTTAAAATAGTTTCACTTAAAAGAATACTAACTTCCCTCTGGGGATAAGTAGAAAGTGCACTCTAACACCATCAAATGAGTCAACATTAACTTTTAAAAAAATCTACCGTGAGAACTTTCTTCAAACATACTTGCTCTGCATTGCAATCCTTCATTACAATTTCAGTTTTGGGGAAGAGAAGGGTTATTTACAAATAGACTAGATCCAGGAGATGCTGATGGTGTCTGGCTAAACTTAGTACATACAGCCTATGATTTACAGACTGAAAATTTCTCTTCCTATGGGGGATGCAAATACAAAATGCTGCATATAAGTAAAAAGTGATTTTGCTTTAAAGGTATGTGCTATGAAAATCAGAAAAGAGTAACTAACTCAAATGTATTTCCCCTGAATTTAGCAAGCAGATTTCAAAGTCTTCCTGGAATCAAGAAAGTGACACTAAAAGTTGTAAGTGGAAGTGCACCCTCTGCTGCTCACTGGCTGGCTATGAATGTTATGGCAAACAACCACTGAAGGAGCCATACAACTGCCTTCCTTCGTGGTTTGAAACATGGTATTATTAATGGCTGTGGCTAGATAAAGGAGAAGAAATACAGAAAAGTAATCATACTCCCAAAGTTTTCAGAATAACTCTGCTTAAATGGTTTGAGTACTAACATGACTATCATTTAAGTATGTTATTCTGAGAGCCACGAAAAGTGGTTTGGTCTATAATGCACCTTCACTAATTACAGTTACTTCTTGAACTACAGCTGACAGATGACTTAAAGGCCCAACAGATGTTTTCTCATATTATTGCAAGAATCAGCATGAGACATTTCAAAGAGTCAGAAGATCTCTTTGCCAGTCCCACTTCCATTTCACATGAAATACAACTTGATAATTGTTTCTTTTGGACACTATAAATTACTTATTGGGACTGTAGTGGACTATCTACCATCAAGTCTGACCATTAAAGTACACCTCTGCTTGTGTTGGGATGTAGCTAGCAGAAAACTCCCGAGAGGTTTTTTAGACTCGTGGCTTTCATATCATCTCCTAGGAATCTTGCAAGTCAGAGATCTTCAGCATTTCTTTAGCAATACCACCAGGTCTGCGGTAATCTAACAAGTAAATCTAATTTAAATTTGAAAGGAGAGTTAAGCAGAGATTACAGATTTTGCTGAAATAAACTAGTATGTCATTCCTATAGTCACAAGATAAAATCGCTTTAAACAATAAACAAACCATAGACAGTTACAAGCTACATCTATGGAGGGGGAAAAAAATCAAGAAAAGAAAAAAGTTATGAGACCAAATGCAGACCTCTAGAACAGAGCTGTATGGCATGGAGCCATTAGAGGTTTGGCAGCAGGTAACATTATATTAAGAAAAAGACCGAGTCTCTACTGCTTAAAGCCAGGAAGAAATTCTGTAAGGAGGTACACAACATAGTGAAGTTGCTAGTACTTAGGCTGAGACAACTGGAGGCAGACAGATTTATCTCTGCGTTCTGAGATTGCTCTAGGGGCCTTACTGCACAGCTCCAAGGCAATAATAAAGTGCTTGTGAACTTTATATATATAATTTGTTTGCCTCTAGAAGATTTTTTTTTCACTGTTCTATGCCAAAAAGAATCCACTCTAAATGGATTTGTATTTTCAGCTATTGGCAACCACTGAAAAAATAAAGGGATTCTATCTATGACTGATTGGAAGGAAAGGGATTTCCTCAGTGTGATGTTCATCATGTTTCCTCACAGACGTTTAATTCTTTCTTTAATCCACTTTCCCTTCATTTTTAAAGTTTGAGGAAATTCTCTTATTTGGCATCTCCAAATTGTATTATACTCAGAATTAACTATGGATTATGCTGAGACTCTTAACCAAACCTACAAGACAGAACTCACAGTATTTTAATGATTCTGGAAAAAAAGGGGTTTAGATTTCATTTCAAATTTTCTTTTCCATCATGAATATTTGGTGGTATATCTCAAAATATGAACTAATTAAAAATATATCAACTTTTTAATTTTAAAAAATTCAACCAACAGAAATAAAAAAACAGGCAGACAAGGTTCTTTGGGTAAATGTGATATTTTTTCTTAAAATAGTTTCTAAAATAGTTGGAAAAATTGTTCTTTGCAAGCTTTCGGCTACAAACACCCTGCTTCAGGCAGAGGGAGAGTCAACTTCAGGGAAAGGATTCTCCCTATGCCTGAAGAATGGTGTTTCTACCCGAAAGCTTGTAAAGAACAATTTTTCCAACTATTTAGTTAGTCTAAAGATATCACATTTACCCAAAGAACCTTGTCTGCCTAAGTCCTTAGACCAACACAGCTACAACCAACACCCCTTATTCTAACATACTAATTTTTGTTTTAAAAAAATTGTATTGTCTTGACAGCTATGAATGCTGTCAAGCGTAATGAAAAACACTTAATTGTTTCATAGAAATATCAGGTCCAAAGAAGAATCAGTTCTATTGCTAGTCAGTACAATGACTTTTCTTTATATACCAACATAAAATGGGAATCGAAACCACAAAAACTATATATGAATAATGTTAATGGCCTGACAACTATAAATTTCATTGATGTTGTGGGTTTAAGGCTGAAACTCTCATTAATGCACCCTGCTGTGTTACAGTATTGCAGAGGTATTACAAAAGGCAACATTACATTCCAGATGTTGACATTTCTGGGCACAATGGGGTAAGGTTATGGACAGATTTCTATCCTTAACTCTGAATTTCTCTGTTGTACATGGGAAGGGAAAAGGAGTTAAAAATCACACCCCTCAAGTTGCTTGTGAATAATTACAGTGATTTCATTTACAGAGAATGCTATATAAAATTGGAAACAGTATTAAAACAAAAGCATAAAAATTTTAGTCAAACTGAAGAAAGCCATGACACTTGATCTAAGTCTTCTATAATATTTTAAATAAATAAACATTCTCTCATTTTACTATTCTATAACCATAACTGTAATCCATTACATACGTTGGGGAAATTAGCAATATACCTATTGATATGTTTTATATATTCATATATTTCATTATACTTCCTCAGCCTCAAAGACTAATTCATCTCTTTACCTTAGGTATAAGAAATTTGAGCATATATTTTTCTAGGGGATAAGCCATATTGAAACAAAGCCTTCCCATTTGATAGTGTTTAAAATATTTACAATAGCTCTACAGGTCTATAGAAAAGAAATCAACTAACAACCCCATTATAGTCTAAAGAAATGTCCAGATGCTATTATATGAGGCCATTCCTAGTGTTATAATGAGGACATTCCCTAGAATCCTCCAGGAGGACAAATTGCCAGAGGTTGAAACACAACTGAAAAGACTGTTGCTTCTAAATGAAAGTTCTCTTGACAGCACCGTTCCCTACCTAAATTTATAATGTCCCAAAAATCCCTTTCATATTATAATTCAGCATATAAAAATTAGCAGCAGCAAGCAGCACAGTTTTTTACTAAATTTTAGAGGAAGGACTATATTGCCATTTTAAAGTGCTAAAACAACATATTGTTTGCTAGTTAAATAAGTTGTTTGAGCATATACACAATTCAATTTTTTTTAAATGTCTCTCTCCTTCCCCCAAAATCCACATTATAGTAACCTACTAGTCTAGTTTAAATTCTGCATCAGGAGTGCAGTCTGTCAGATTGGAACAAGCTGCACTGCCTTACTTTTATGTGCTTTGCTGTACAGGCTCCCTATAAAATGCATGGGGCGAGTTGGGGGCCTAAAAATGGGATCTAGAAAGCCAGCAGACTGAGTATGGAGTTACTTAACCCACTTTAGTGATTCTCACCCAGTGTACTGGGACACCCTGGGGTGCCCTGAGAAGATATGGGAGGTGTGAAAAGATAAGCTGATAAGTGCAAGCTGAGGCTTGTCCCTACGTGGAAGATCCCAGACCTCCATTGCCCAGCCTCTGTGCAAGGATGCAACTGTATAAATTAGTTTTTGAAATTGGATGCCACTCAACTCACAAAACATACAGGGGAGAGGGGCTGCCTCAAGTCCGAAAAGGTTGAGAACCACTAACTTAGCCATAGGAAAGTCAACTGAGGGAGTGTGACATAAACCCAGCTCCCCCAAGAGAGGTGGGCACCGAACTCTAGACTGCAGAGAAGCATCTCTCTCCATTCAGCATTTACAAACAAGAACACTTTCCTGGAGGCAGATGACTCAAACTCTTTTTACTGAAATATTGGAAGAGGAGGAAGAGAAAGGGGAGGATGTAGTGATAGTTTTGCCATCATATTTTTAAAAGCAGTCACCTGAGATATGAAGGACCAATTTAAACCTCTCCTCTGCCTATAAGGACTTGAAAGCACATCTCCCTGCTTCTCAATAATGTATCCTAGTTAT